TTTCGTTTTCAATGAATATCTATAGAAAAATGTTTCGAGGTAGATATATGTGGACAATGTATATATTTGGTTTGTCCTCCTCTAAACATTTATAGAAGTGCTGCAATAGGTTGTACAAAATAACCGGAAAAGCCTATAATAACTAGATAGGAAAGTCATGTGTTGGACACATCAGATTTTTAAATATAGGAAATGGGAGAATATAAAAGTGTGTAATAGGTACGCAAAAAAGTGTTGAATATTTGCTACATAGGAGTTTGAATTTTTAGTTTTCTTTTTATGGCTTTTTTTTAGTGCAAATATGACATGTTTATTTACGTGTTTGTTTTTATTTTTTCATGAATTTTTTATAAATAAATATTTTTTAATGGAACTGTGGTTCTTTATATATTAAGGTACTATATACGTCCTAATATATATACCTAAACTATATATCTCGCTATATTTATAAAGTGCGACTGGGCCTCCAGCCGTGTTAATTTTTAGGTTCACTGAGACTCCGCTGTTAATAATATATGGACTCTACAGTAGAGTCTTAGTGAGCCTAAAAATTAACAAGGTGGGCCCAGTCGTACCGTATGGATATATAATGAGAATGTTTACTCATCAGTAAGCTTTAAGGATTTTTTTTTGAATTCGTTTAAAAATTTATATTATGTAGTAAGAAACTCTATTAACAGATTTCTATAATTTTTTAACCAGTTTTAAATATACAGTGAGTCCACTTAAGTACGCAGTATATTAAAAACTTTTTTATTATTAAATTAACGAGAAAAAGTTATTCTTCATAAAAAGTTCTGCATTGTTTAAAACCTAAAACCATCAGATATTTTATTTTATAAATTATTTTTAGTACCTTCTGGTAATCTATGTAGACGTAAATGTTTCAATCTATATTTTTGTTCTTGTTCATCAAATTTATCATGTAGATTTTTATTTTCTTTAAAGCGTACTGATATATTATTCATTGATGTGATTTTATAATTTACTTCTTTTAAATGTTCTTCAATTGTTGTTAAAACAATATCGGTCATTGTTTAGCCAGATCTTTTAAAACCTTATATGTAATAATATCGGCAAAAAATTTCTGAGAAGTATCTGTAACAACATTATTTAATTTTTTGTCTTTTTGTAAACACCATTATTACATTTATGAAAACAAAAATTTTAATTTTAAACTAGTATTGAGCAAAAAAGTCATTATAATATATACACACAAAACTTGAGAAGACTTAAAAAGAATAGAACTATTGCAATTGGTTTGCCGGCAGAAACGACGAATTCGCATACTACTCGCTAAGAAGGTTTATCTTCAACGGGTTATTATTATTTTAAATAAAAACATATGGTCTGAGTAATTAGGTTTTTCTTCCTTCTGCTAAATAAATTATTAAAAAGTGGCAACAGTGCTTGGAGCCTCAGTAAATACATTATCTCTAGTAAGAGGAGGCGCATTAACATAAACAGTGTCAAAACATATGTCAAATGTATATAGTGGACGTTACGTTGACCTATCCAACTAATGGTAGTTGAATTAGTCTTTACAAATAACGGTGTATATAATGGCGTATATACGGTGGAGTTTTGGTAGGCCATTTATGGAATGGAGTCCCAGTAATGCCACGTAGCTAGATATATATATATATATATATATATATATATATATATATCTATAGTTAAAAGCACGTAAACTTGGCATCAATGTTCAATCCGATTATTGGGTTTCTACCGCGGACACCACCGTTCATTCTTCAAAAATTTTGTAAATAATCCTATCTGTCTTGGTTATATATCTATGGTTGTGACTCTCCAGAAATATTAATAATTGTTAAATTGTTCAAAATTACCTTATCTTTTAACTTTTGACTTAAAAGTCTTACACAGATTTTATTTTTGCACGTATTTATAGATTGTAAGTTTACATCCATAATTTTTGTAGATAAGCACTAGTGGTGGCACCATGACGAAAGCACGAAATACAAGTCGTTCCTTTTTAATAATAAGTAGTTAGATAATAAAATTACCAACAAAAGACAATTTAAAACTTCATCAGAACTAAAGTTAGAATGATCTATATTTAGAAAGAAAAAGAACTACAAATCAGTAATAAACAGCAGTCAACCAAGTGAACCGAGGAAATCTAGACAAAACTGTAAGAAGACAACAAGTATTAATGGAGGCTGGTATAACTTATGCCCAAGTAGCAAGTAATGAAATACAACCGACAGTAGAGAACAGTACCGATATGACCCCAGTAAGAGTTAAACCTGTAAAAGTAAAAACCGTAAAAGTAAAAGCAACAAAAGTACAAATAAATCTTGATATGGCTTCAACTTCATCTGATGAAGGTGTTCATATTGAAAAACTTACAGATCCAGAAACATACCAACTACGGAAATTTCAAATTTAAATTTTAGTTAAACCTCATGGTTTATAGGATATCGTAATTAACAAAAAAAAATCGTCTATCTGCCAACAGCTTCGAAAGAAATCCCACTGATGAAAAATGTGATTTACTGCAAGAATTTTTGTATACGATAAAATTAGCAGCCAGATTAATAGCTAAAGAAAACAAATACAAAGGTGAATGTGAAAAACATTCAGTTGCTTTTGAAAGTTATGAAAATGTCAAATTTGAAATGCAAAAAACTGGAAAAAATCGCAGAAAAGGAAGAACTGCTTTAAATGTGGAAAACCTAGATAGTTTGCAAGGTAGTGCTATGAATGTTTCATACCAAAAGTCAAGTAATAATTCAAATAAAGTTTGTAATATATGTAAAAAAACAATCACACTGAAAAACATTATTACTTTAGAAAGAAAATTTTGAATTGCAAATATAAAATTGCATTCTTTTGTGAAAACAATAATATATGTAGAAACTAAAAATTTTGTTTTCAATTTAGGTGTAACAACCCACCTAATGAATTATATGTTTGGAACAAGCAGACACAAATATATCAGTTGCTAAAAAGTCTGAAAGGCAAAGGTAGAATTGAGATAGACAAATGTATGTTGTATGATATTCTATATGTACCCGATCTATGTAAAAACCTTCTATCAGTAAATGTAGTAACATAAAACAATGGTGGAGCCACTTTTTCTAAAAATAAAGTAATAATAAAGAATATTGTAAATATTTTAGAAGGTAAAAAAATTACCTATATGTTATATGAAGTACGGACTGTAAAAGAGGAAGAACAGGAAAATAAATTAGACCAATTGATTCACATGATTAAAAGCCTTATTGAGAGGCAGCCGAGGCCTATTAGGTGCTGGAAATGGGAAATATAAGCAGCTCGGCAAACGCCTAAATAACACAAGAGTAACGGGGCTGCAAGGACCTGTAGAGAAAGGAACGCCTGTTGTGGTAAAATTTTTAAAGTGTAAAGAAGATGTTGGTCAAGGCACAGTACGATGAACGATGGTTGCCAGCGATGAGTGGGCTCCTGCCAAACTTAGAAAAAACAAGAGAACGATCCCGTTTTAAAAAAGATGCGACATTGGAAAGAAGAGAATCGTAGACCTACCTGGCAAGAAATATCAATACTCTTTTCAGTAGTCAAGTCACATTGGGCTCTGTGGAACTCTTTTATTCTAGAAGAAGGCTTATTAAAGCAAGAACTAAAGAATGATGATGGTTCCGAAAACAGAAGGCAGTTCATTCCAAAGACTAAGGTAGCGAAGTACTTCGTCAGTTACACGACAGTTAAAGGGTATAGCCCCCAACATCGACTCGTAATTTCTTTTAACGAAAATGGCGCCTAACGTGGACATCCAATCGTATATGAACCGTCCATTACCATTCACCGATCTATTCCTAGGAGAAGTAGCATAATAGATCCGTCAATTACTCGTCAGATGTTTGATCTGGACCTAGAACCACATAGATATTTTGATGTCAGTCGTCTAAGGGTTCGGTTTGACGGACAATCCAGCGAAAATAACTTCCATGAACGGATCAAGGAACTAAGAGTGTCAAGAGGTATTTCTATAACACAACACCACGTCGATTATTTTGTTTCATATGTGGACCTGATAATGTTACAATATATCGATATTCTAATTGTCAAAAAATGTAAGATGGAGTCAGTAAGTGGCTGGGAACTGACTCCTCCTACTTTGTTCGACTTAATCCTTAAAAGCTATTAATGACTATGTAGTTTACCATGACAATCGACCCGATTTAAAAGTTTTTATTTACCGTCATACATTTCTAGATCTCTTAGATTTATATTCTCGCCACTATTTATCTAAATCCTGACCTATTGCTAATGGCGATAAGTGCGAGGTTATAGGATTTATTCGCGTACCTGTACAATTGCAGAATAAAGTGGCAGTGTCTAGACTACCACACCATTTGATATTAGGTATTGACTTTTGACGTCAAATGGAAATTATTTCTGATCTTTATTCAGGAGAGTCGTGTTTTCGATCTAAAAACCCAGCGTTAAAAATATTTGCTTTGGAAAATACAGATCACCTTTTAATAGAACAACGATCTTGATTGAAAAAAGTGATAGAAAGTACATTTAAGGACATTGGGATGTGCTCAAATCGTAGAACATGAAATTAAAACTTACTCCCGTCCCATTAAGCAGAGGCATTACCCTTTAAGTCCTGCTCTGCAGAAACAGGTTATTGTGGAACTTGAGAAAATGCCTGCTGAAAAAATTATAACACCATTTACTTTAATACTAATTCACAGCACTATTATTTCACACACTGTACTATTACTTCGCTTATATAGCCTTAGTCGCATCGCATTAGATCACTTTCCAAGACAGAACTGCCTCTCCGTGCTCGACGGGTAAATGGAGGAGTTAGACGTAGAACTTACAATTAGCATAAGAAAAATTAGTTAAGATAATTTGGCCACTTAATATTCATACAAAATAATCTTAGAAAATTACAGAAGTGTTTATTAATTATGTAAAGCCAAAAAACGATCCACACTATATAAAATTTGTTAATGCATTAAACAAACAATAAAACAAATCAATTGTTTTGTATAAATTTTATTAAACATAATATTACATTGAAGATTTCCCGTTATAATCTTCTTTAACTGTCTTTCTACCTGTAAAATAATCCTGAATTTCCTGCAAAGTTTTCCCCTTAGTTTCAGGTACATAAATCGTAATGGGTACCAAAGCAATACCACAAAAAAATCCAAAAAACAGAAAAGGTACGTGCATTCCGAAAGTGTCTCTGGTAACCTGGAAAAACTTCGAAGAACAAGTAACCAAAGCTACGTTGTAGTAATCAACGAAACACACTGCAGCTGCTTTCACGTCTTGCGGAAATAGTTCACCTAGCATCAGCATCGGGATAATTTTTAATCCTGAGCTAAAGCATATCACAAAAATGAAGAGAGCTATAAGTGGTATCAGACTAAATTCGGTTACATCTATGTTAGTACAGATTTTGATATAATAATAGATTCCTTGAGTAAGAAGAGATACGCAGGCACCAGACACTGAAAATATTAGCAACGGCCTTCTACCGATTCTATCCACCATTATAGAAGCTACAGCTGTAACTATCAGTTCAAGAGTAAAGAATATTATCGAAGCCACGTCAGCTGTTAAGCTACTTCCAGCCTCGCTAATTATATTTTGGGTGTAGAACGTGATTGCTGAATCTCCGCTGAATTCTTGAGCTCCTCTGAGTATTAACACGACGAAAAGTGCTTTTCTATTACTGCTGACTAGAAACATGGCTGTTGGGTTTGTTTTCCTTGCCATGTCTTCTTTGATTGCTGATTGGATAGTATCCAATTCAGCTTCAATGGCATAGCAACCTCTTAACGTTCGTAGATTCTTTGTTGCTTCTGAAAGAATTGTAAAAATTAATTTTGTGTGACATAATAATATGTAAAAAATATTACAGGATGATATCTAGTATCCCAGAGACCAAATATATTTGATATCCGTGGTGTTTAATGAGAGGAAATAGAAAATATACTCGATGAAATCATTTTTTTTGTACTAACCTTTAGTTTTTCCTTTCATTAACAAAAAATATGGCGATTCTGGTACCAATAAGGTCGTTATGATTAATACAACGGGAAAAATACATGATATTAAGGCTGCTTCTTTTAAACTACAATACGATCCGATGATATCTATCAACAGCATTCCTAAAATCCAAGCTACGGAAACTGCAGATCCAAGAAAACCTCTTATGCGAGGTTCAGTAATTTCACCAATATAAATAGGTACTGCAGAAAATGCTAAACCATCTGAGATTCCAGCAATGAACCTAAAAAAACATTATATATACAATTTCTAACTTAATAATTAAAATTGTCAAATTATAACAATTAGTACCTTGCAGTTAAAATCAATTCCACATTTGTAGCAAAATAAATCATCATCCAAGACGCTATATATGGAAATGCGCATGCTATAATAGTTTTGCGCCTTCCCAAATGATCCACCAACACTGAAGCTGAGAGGCAGCCTACCAAGGCTCCAAACATAGGCATATTAGCTAACCAGTAGCCTGTATCTTCTGTTATTGGTATAATCGAGAATTCGTCTAGCAGTATTGGCAATGAAGGTGAAGGCCAACCGTAGTGCATACCGCTTATTACCAAAGACAGTGTTGCTAAAAGTTTTTACATTTTTAGTGAAAAATATCAAGTGTTCAAAATAAAAAATCTGATGTGTCTAACACATGACTTTCATATATAGTTATTACAGGTTTTTTTCTGGTTATTTTGTACAGCCTATTGTAGCACTTCCGTAAATGTTTAGAGGTTAACTAAATTGTTGGGTTTATTTTAAGTGTTTCTCTTTTATTATTTTAAACAGTAAAATTTAGTTTGAAAAACTTCTATATTTTATTTTTACAATTTTTATACTCTGAGAAGTTTTGTCAAAAAAATCAAGTAACTAGAATAAATTATATTAATATATCCTTAATTGCATCAACTATATACTAATTATAAAAAAATATATCCTCCCCCCCCCCTCCCCGTGAAAATAATTTTAATCTTGTCGAATCTAATTTTCACTAAATTTACATATTTTAGTAATTGGCCGCCGTAAAGTAAAATCTTCCGTTTTGATATCAACGATACGAACTCTTCCGTCTTTTCCAGCCAACAACTTTTGGATCACATCTAAAGACCAATGATTTCTTGGTGCATTCGGTTCTAAGAATAATAACATCTCCCTCTTCTAGCGGTTTTTAGTCATTATTCCATTTTGATATCTTCGTCAAAGTCGGAAGATACTCTTTTATCCATCGTGTCCAGAAAATATCGGCCAGTCTCCGACTTTTCTTCCATTGCTTTTTATATTCTTTGGTGTCAAATTTTCCAGGGACTAATGGAGGCAAATATTTTCCTTTTAAGAGTAATGCTGATTAAGTCATGTGGATCAGACGACACATGAGTTAGAGGTCGACTATTTACTATGTTCTCAACTTCCGAAGACATGGTCAGCAGAGTTTCATCTCGCGATGCTTCCTCCTTCAATATGTTGTCAAGAATGTTTTTGACACTTCCAATTAATCGCACCCAACACCCTCCCATGTGTGGCGTCCCCGGTGGGATAAATTTCCATGTAATACCAAGTTCTTTCAATTTCGGTTCAATTTTATTTTGATCAAATTCTTTTAGGCACTTTCGAATTTCTTCATCAGCTTCATTGAAGTTTGTTCCATTATCGGAGTAAATGACTTTAGGTACTCCTTTTCTATTGGAAAACCTTAAAATAGCTATTTTTTTTTTTTTGGCATAGGCACATTGCCATTCAGCCAGACACAGATTCGTCCATAATTAGAACTACCCAAGAATATTTCCTAACAGCAAAAGGTGTAAGAAGAAGAAAAAAAAATAAACAATATAGAACGGGGACACTCGCTTCTCGTCCAGGGACCCATCAGGACGTTTTTTTAATAAGATTCCAATTATAGACGAATCTTAGTGTCTTTCAGAAATTGTAAGAGGCAGTTGATAATATCATCAGAAAAATGTGTTAAAGTTGTTTCAATATTTAAGGGGGATGGAATGTTATTTTTTATAAGACTCATATAAAGAGTGTTTGAATGTACTGAGTATTTCTTGCATTCGAAGAAAACGTGATTAAGGTCTCCGGTTGTTTCACAAAATTTGCAATTTTCATCTTCTTTTACATTAATTTTAAACAAGTGTTTGGGATAACTGCCATGACCAAATCTGGTTCTAATTAAAGATGTAATGTAGTGTCTCGGAATTATATGATTTTTAAACCAGGGTGAGTTTGGAATATGTCTTTGAATTTTAGTGTACTGATTCGAATAAGTGCAACAGAATTGTGACCAATCATGTCTCCATTTTCTCATATTGTTGGATTTTATCAAGGCGACAATATCTGGGGTACAGATGTTATGAACGGTGTTGGTTCCTTTTTTTATTGCAGATTTTGCTAGCATATCAACATATTCATTGTGTTTAAGCCCAATATGAGCCTTTACCCATATAAAGCATATCTTTACGTTATTATTAATTAGTTGGAACAATGCCTTTTTGATCAAGAGAATGTATGGATTAGAATTAAAATTAGGAATATCCAGAGCTACAGCCGATTTTAAAACAGATAAAGAATCTGACGCAATTAGAGCTGCTTTGGTATTAGATTCTGTTACAAATTGTAAGGCTTCTAGTATCGCAATCGCTTCTGCAGTGTAACTAGAAAAATTATCAGGTAATTTGTAAAGAGCTTTAATATGCAGAGACGGGACGTAGTAGGCGCAACCAGTGCCTAAGTCTGACTTGGATGCATCGGTGTATATAACAATATGTTCAGGAAAGTCATTTAGGTTACAAAGGAGTAGATTTGAGCAATTATGAGGATTTTCATCATAATTGGGTTGTCTAAGTAAGACTTTAGTAAAGAAACAAGGAAAGTCGGATGTAATGAAGAATTGGTCGAAAGAACCTAGGGAATCGAACGATATCTCACAATTTTGAACAGCTTTACATAATAGCGGTGAGTTTTTATGAATCCAGTATTTATTTGTTAGATCATATGTATTAAGTTGAATAATTTCAGAAAATAAGGTTGAGTTATGTAAGAATGCCTTAACGAGAAATTTTTGACTTAGGTATTCTATTCTATATTTAATGGGTGGCTCTACAGCTTCGATATAAAGGGATTCAGTTTTAGTAGATTTCATAGCACCCAAGCATGTGCGTAGTACAGAATTTTGAAAAACTTCTAACTTTTTCAGTAAAGAGTTGTTGGCTGATCCATACAAAATACATCCATAGTCCAGTATAGATCGAATGTAGGATCTATAAAATAGTAAGCCTGTATTAACATCGGCACCTAACCAAACTTTCAAGATAGATTTAAAAAAAATTTAGACCTGTTTGACACCTGTTCAACGCATATTCAATGTGATGTTTCCACGTGAGCTTCTTATCGAAGATCATTCCAAGGTATTTAGCGTGTATTTGTAAAGGAAATTCTTGTTGTTTTAAATTAATTGTATTGTTATTAGGTGTGTTGTGTCGGGTGAAAATACATACAACAGTCTTGTTGGTAGAAATTTCAAAACCATTAATACGGCACCAAGACTGGAAACTAGACATAATTGTATTTAAGGATGTAAGGGAAGAGTCATATTTCTTTTATTCCGTGTAGATACATATATCGTCTGCATATTGGATGACTTTGAACGGTATATTAATCAAACGAGTTTTATGTAAACTGGCGGTATAAATATTAAAAAGTAGGGGACTCAAAACAGATCCCTGTGGTAGACCAATGCTGGTGTAACGAGGACCTAGGAGCTTATTTTCATTGTCTCTTATATATATATACACCTGCTGGAGTAAAATTTTATAATGATATTAGCAATTGAAGAAGGAATTTTGCACTCAACAATCATCTTAATCTTTAATATTGATAGATCTACACTATCATAGGCACCTTCTATATCTATGAAAAGGGTAGATAAATAGTTATTTCGGGAGAAATTGTTCTGAATGTCTGTTGTCAGAGTAGAGAGAGCATCCATCGTTCCATATCCTTTTCTATTATGTGCTCCTCGAGATGTATTGTACGCATCGTAAGGCAAGTAAATAACACCCCGTATCTTTTCTCTTTACGTCTTCCAACTATAACGTTTAAAGCTTTAAAATAGTCTACGCCTGTGTAAGTAAATGGAGGTTCGCCAGGTTGAAGTCGTTTATCTAGTAAATTTCCCATAAGAGGTATTTCTGGACTGGCATTCCTTTTTCTACAAAACAAACAACTCAAAAATACCTTTTTTACGGCTTCTCTACCTTTGATGATCCAAAATTTTTGTCTAATTTCATTAAGTACCGTTTCAATGCCTTTGTGTCCAAAAATTTCATGATAAGTATTTATTAATAGACTCATATATAAATTTTTGTTATCCAAAATATAAGGGTTTCTAACATCTTCAGGTAAGTACCTGGCGTTACTCAATCGTTCACTTAGTCGTAATAGTTTATTCTCGTCTAAATAGGGGTTTAGCTTAAATATTTTATTACTTTTTAAATTTTGTTTCCTTTCTCTAGAAGCTTTATTTCCCTTAAAAATGATTCTTCTTGTGCCCTTCTAATAATTTTTCTTTTGCGTTTTGAAGTTATTCAATGGTTAAATCAATTCCGGTCCATAAACCTCCATCTTGACACCTAACAATCCTAAATAAAAATTTCTTAGAGAATCGTTGAAAATATGCAGTAGTTCTAACTAGTCTTCACCATTTCGAAAATCTGCTCACGTCTGGTGTTGAACAGGTTGATGTGTTTGTACTATTGAGGAAACATACTACTTTCCTTTTAGTATCCTTTTCAAAATTGTAGCCAGGAAATTCTTTATTTCCTAACCAATATGTTGTAGTTTCATTACTATTCTTTAAGATATCAGATCCAGTAAACCATAACTTGTAGAAGTTGGCATTGTATTTTTCATTGAAATTTAAGCGTGTAGCCAGATCTACCACATTTAAATTAGTAGTATGATATCTCCATAATGCGCTTTTAGGGTGTTCTTGAATTTCACCTACTTTGTTAGCCACAAATTGCTTATAATTTCGTCCATCCCCTCTAATTAAAGACAAAACCGTTGTCGAGTCTAACCGAAAGGTAAATTTAGATATGTTTATGTTAATTTCTTGCTGGATTGTTGTTGCCAAACGCCTACTTAAGGTCGCTGCTTAAAGTTCAAGCCTGGGTACGGATAAAGGTTTAAGAGGACTTATTTTAGCTCTAGCTATTAGTAATGAAGTTTCACAAATGTTGTCATTTTTAATCTGTAAGTAAGCTATTGCAGCAAATGCTTCTTCACTTGCATCGCAAAATATGTGGACTTCTACTTGATCATCAATCTTCAAAAATTTTGTTTAACACCATGGAATTTTGATTTCTTCTAATGTTTTTAGCATTTCAAGCCTTTTTTGCCAAATTTCGTAGATTGTATTCGGAATTTTTCTGTCCCAATTTATTTCACTTCACCAAATTTGTTGCATAATGTTATTGTTAAAAATGTTATTAAGCCAAGTGGGTCAAAACGCGACATTATTATTTTTAGAACATGTTTTTTGGTAGGTACATCTCCAAGTAAAATTTTCTCAGGTACATTTGCGAA